GAAAATATGTTACAAGGGGGAGAAAATGTACAATTTTATGATCAAAGAGTACAACAAGCCATGGAGATGTCACAAGCAAGCGCGTACACTTCACCCACCCTAGGCCAAATGCTAAAGCGCGTGGGAGACGTGAGAAAAGAAGTCACCGGCGATGAAACTCCGGTGCACCGGATTCTCGATATGAGTGATACTCAAAGCATATCATCTCACTCTCTTCCTTTTGTTCTCTCCTTCAACAACCTCACCTACAGCGTGAAAGTCCGCCGGAAAATGACTTTTCCGGCGATGCTCCGGCGACCGGCAGCCGGAGTTTCCACCGGCGATCCCGTCCCCGGAGAAAACTTGTTCACGAGGACGAAATTTCTCCTGAACAATATCTCCGGTGAGGCTCGGGACGGCGAGATAGTCGCCGTCCTGGGTGCATCAGGGTCGGGGAAATCGACCCTGATTGATGCCCTCGCGAATAGAATCGCGAAGGAGAGTTTAAAAGGAACGATAACATTGAACGGAGAGCCGCTCGATTCGAGATTATTGAAAGTAATCTCAGCATATGTAATGCAAGATGATCTTTTATATCCAATGTTAACCGTTGAAGAAACGTTAATGTTTGCAGCTGAATTCAGACTACCACGAAATTTATCAAACTCAAAAAAGAAAATGCGAGTCCAAGCTCTGATCGATCAATTAGGATTACGAAATGCTGCAAAAACAATCATTGGCGATGAGGTGCGTTTTTTAATCTTTCATCAATAGAGTGATCGTGTTTTTCTTCTCAAAAATTTTAATAATATTTTTGAAAACAGGGTCATCGTGGTGTCTCTGGAGGTGAAAGACGCAGAGTTTCAATTGGAATTGATATAATTCATGACCCAATCATATTGTTTCTAGACGAACCAACTTCAGGTCTTGATTCGACTAGTGCATACATGGTGGTGAAAGTTCTACAACGAATAGCTCAGAGTGGTAGTATTGTGATCATGTCGATCCATCAGCCAAGTTATCGAATTCTTGGACTGTTGGATCGAATGCTCTTCTTGTCTCGTGGGCAAACGGTTTATAGTGGTTCACCTATGAATCTCCCACATTTTTTTGCTGATTTTGGTCACCCAATACCAGATAGTGAAAATCGAACAGAGTTTGCCCTGGATCTGATTCGCGAACTAGAAGGGTCCCCTGGAGGGACAAAGAGTTTAGTTGAGTTCAATAAAACATGGGAAAATACTAAAAGGAGTAATGAAAATTCTGAAATGTTAACACCAACTCATGGATTGACATTGAAAGAGGCGATTAGCGCGAGTATTTCAAGAGGGAAGTTGGTTTCAGGGACGACGAGTGATATTCATACTAGTCCAGCATCAATGGTTCCAACATACGCGAATCCATTTTGGATTGAAATGGTTGTCTTGTCCAAGAGATCATTTACGAATTCTTGGAGGGTGCCAGAGTTATTTGGTATCCGTCTAGGGGCAATCGTGGTCACCGGGTTCATCCTAGCTACAATGTTTTGGCAACTTGATGATTCCCCTAAAGGGGTTCAAGAAAGGCTTGGTTTCTTTGCATTTGCTATGTCAACAACTTTCTACACTTGCGCGGACGCGTTGCCTGTGTTTCTACAAGAAAGGTATATTTTCATGAGGGAGACTGCTTATAATGCTTATAGAAGATCTTCCTATTGTCTATCTCATGCTCTAGTTTCTTTACCAGCATTGATCTTTCTTAGCTTTGCATTTGCTGCTATAACTTTTTGGGCTGTAGGCCTTGAAGGTGGATTTTTGGGGTTTTTGTTCTATTTCGCGATAATACTAGCCTCTTTCTGGGCCGGGAATTCATTTGTAACGTTCCTCTCCGGTGTAGTTCCTAGTGTAATGTTAGGTTACACCATAGTGGTCGCGATCCTAGCCTACTTCCTTCTCTTCTCGGGATTCTTCATCAACCGCGATAGGATTCCACCTTATTGGATATGGTTTCACTACCTGTCTCTGGTGAAATATCCTTACGAAGCTGTGTTACAAAACGAATTTGATGATCCAACAAAGTGTTTTGTCAAAGGGATTCAATTGTTTGATAATTCACCACTTGGTAATGTGCCTAATGCATTGAAGGAAAAATTGTTGAGTACAATGAGTAACACATTAAATGTCAAAATTACAAGTTCAACATGTGTTACTACTGGGGCTGATATATTGGTTCAACAAGGGATTACTGATTTAAGTAAGTGGAATTGTTTGTGGATTACTATTGCATGGGGGTTTTTCTTTAGGGTTTTGTTTTACTTTAGCTTGTTGCTTGGAAGTAAGAACAAGAGAAGGTGATAGAAACTACACCTCGATCGAAAGTCGTGAATTCAGAATTTGAATACAGATCGTGTGATCAATCAGAGGTGAATCTAGAATTTGAATACAGATCGAGTTACATCCATTGCTTCTATCATAGATTCATCTTCGCACGTGCCAAGGGTTGTGTTTGAATTGTAAACAAGGATGTTTGTTTTTTCTTTTCTTTTTTTTTTTTAAGTAACAATGTGTGTGTTTTCATATCTTTTTACTTCAAGTACGTTATACGTACTTTTTTATTGTAATAGAATAAATGTAATATTTTTTTGACAGTCTAGTGAATTGATTATCGCTTCAAAGTCGATGAGTTTAGAATTTGAATACCGATCGAGTTCAGGCTTGAGACATGTGATATAGAGATTCACTACTTCTAATTAAAGGGTTGTTTTTAAATATTTGTAAACAATGAATTAAGTTGGGATTTATTTTTATTTTTTGTAATGTGTTTTTTAGATTTATTTGTTTATTTTGAAGGTACTCTTTCATTATAGTTTTATTATTTTATTTTATTTTTTGACAATTTGACTATATTATTATTATGTCAAAAGTTTATTTGGTGCAAAGTAGTTGGAATTGAAAATCAAGACAAGAAAAAGAAAGTTGCTTGCTTGAAGCAAATAGTATTACCCATGCACATGTAGGTCACCAAATTAAACTGTTAATTTAAAAAAATAATTTATAATCTTATATTACAGTTGACACGTAAATCATTTTAAAAAAATTAAAATTTTTAGAAGATAATTTTCATAAGTCAATAATCTATCAAAAATAATTTATCGATATATTTATCAAAGACAAATTTAAGGTCTTCATGCATATGTGTTACTCTTCGATTCTCACTTATAAAATGATTATATTATTGTTATTTTATAAAGTACGACTTGACATGACATTTTAACAATTTTTTTCTAATTTTCTTAGAAAAATCATAGAATGTACTACATAATGCACTAATGAAGTTTGGAAATTGGTAGAATTTTTATTTTATGGCAACTTTATTTTGTTTGTAAGTGTTTCCCCCACACACCACACAATTATAAATATTCTTCTTTGTATTTTAGTTTTGCATTTATCTCCTCAATTTTCATGATTGTACCTTTTGGGGGTTTGTGGGGGGGGGGGGGGGTACCCTTGTCCAATACATAATTTGCTCTTTTTTTTTCATTTATTAATAAATCAATATTTTATATATTCATTGAAATATCACATTTTATTTGATATTATAATTTCTTATTAGTCTGTTTTTTTAAAAAAGGATAGATTTTTAATATTACTTTATTTAATATTAAATTATTATAACCATACAAATGATATAATTTATAGCATATTTAATTATATTAGCAACATTTATATGTTTGAAACTTTTTGGTCATATGTTTATATTTATTGTCCACACTATATTTCAACATCTCAAACCAGAATATTTCCAGGCTGGAGTCACATGCAATATTATTGATTTTTTTTGTTGATTTCCTTTCGCGATATACAGTAGCGTACGCAGAATTTTACGTAAATAGTAATAGTTACTATCGTAACTTAATTTCTTGTAGCATGAGGTAAGAGTGGGCATCATATGGAGTAGTATGGTATTTGAAAGTTTTAATACTGTAATAACGATATTCGATTTTCAAAACACTATGTTATATATCAGTTTCATTCGGTAAATGTCTCATTATACTAACAATATTCAAATACAATTCAATCAAAATAGAGTTGTTAAAATTTTAACTTTTAAACATATATTTAGTTTATACTAATTATACTAGGCTGCATATTTGTTAATATGTTAATAATTTACGTATGTATATATATACGATACCATATGTCATAATATTGAAATTTTTTATATGATATGATATAATAATTTGATATATACCATACTAAGTCCACCCCGTCATATAATGACCTTTCTATTCTATAAAACATGTGTAATAAATAAGATTTACTGCACGTATAATGAAAGAAATATATATATATAACACAAATTAGTTGGATTAAATTTCAATTATTTTGTTTCATTTTAGTACATAGGAGTCTTTTAGTCATTGTCATAAACTTGTAATATATATGCAGTACAAAAATGCAAAGAATACCTAGTGGCAAAGAAGTTAATTAAATTTTATAATGTCAGATCGAGTCTATCGAGCTTAAATAAAACGATACGAACAGTGAAGACTCGACTAAACATCATACGTACTTACTTTAGAACCCAACAAAGTAATAAAAAATGTTGAATCCACTATTTGGTTGATAAATTCTTTACTAGATGAAACCATAATCACATTTTTTATAGACAAAATAAAGAAATCAGATCTAGTTAGGTGTTAAACTACCCTTCTAAGAAGTTCATCCATTCTCAACCACTCAAACCTAAATAATAAATTAAGAATAATCCACATTAGTCCATCACATAACTCATTTCTAATCAGAAGTTTCATGTTCGAGCTCTTATATGAAGTTGCTTTCGTTAGGCAACATTTTGTCCTAAACTTTATCGCAGAAATCGTAGTCAGACCTCAATACGAATACCGGGTGGGAACTAAGCTATATTAACTAAATAATCTTTTTAATCTTTATGTAGTTATTAGTTAGGTAATCTAATCATAAGTCCACCTATAATATATAGTTGTATATATATGTGTGTGTGTGAATATGTTATATATGTCCATTTAATCATCTTTCTTTTAATAATAATACAATTATGGCAAAGCCTCTTCTAAATTTTGTAGTTTTGATTCTAATTAGTTTAATTATATGTTCAAGTTCAGCTACTAACTACATTGTGGGTGATAATTCTGGCTGGGATATTAGTACTGATCTTGATACATGGTTACTAGGAAAGAAATTCAAGATTGGAGATGTACTCGGTAAGTATCATCGATCATAATATTCTAATATCAGTTTAAGTTATACACGCTAATAGTTTTTTTCTAAAAAAAATATCAACTCAATTTTACGGCCGTAATAGGTTATTACATAAGTTTTACTTCTCGTAGGTCAACTTAGCCAGATATCGTAAATGTTCTTGAAAAAATAAGGATAAAAAATATCCACTCAACTCAACAAAATATCTTAACTTTTAAAATCTTCATAGCATTTTCGAGCATTTTCGATAGTAAATCATCTCGTATTTGTCCTTGATTATAACGAAGCTCCAACATGAAATATAATGGAGGTAACTTTAGATCATAAAGGGCAAATTTGGACTTCTTTTTTGAAGTTTTTTGCCACGTGGAGTCCATCCAACCCACATTGGAGCTTGTTAAAGTCAAAATACAAATACGAGACGATTTACTAACGACAAGAGTATGAATAACCCTAAAAAAGTAAATTTGATGATATCAACAATCACATCGATTATAATTCTTCTTTTTTTGCAGTGTTCCAATATTCATCGCTCCATAGTGTGTCCGAAGTAACGAAGGAGAATTTCATGGGGTGCAACACAAGCAACGTGCTCGATTCGAGCAAAAATGGCAACACAACTTTCATATTGACAAAGCCAGGGGATAGATACTTTGTTTGTGGTAATAGGTTACATTGTCTTGGTGGAATGAAACTTCATGTAAACGTAGAAAATGCAGATGGTGCAGCAGTAAGATCGCCTGCTGCTGCACCATCACCAGAGGGAGGGGCCTCATTTTCCCCTTCTTCAAAGAGCAATAATCCATCATTTGTGCCTAATTTTGCTTCCTCTAATATTCATGTTAGATTGGATTCTATGATACTTGTAATTCTTGGTCTTTTGTTGTTTACAATTCCACTAGTGTAAACTTGAGGATTTTCATTTTTCATTATTATCCCTATAGTTTGTTTATGTTTCGAGTTGAAAAAAATTACTATAATTTATCTTTGTTTGCGTTACATATTAGTCAATATTTTTCACAAATTTTACGAACAAAAGCTCTTATTTTCACATCTTATTCCTCACCTTAACTAGGATGAAGAAAATGTTGTTGACTAGTTTTATATAAAAGAGACAAATTGCTACCAAAGGAACCAAGAGAAGTAGAGAAAGGTAAAAGTTTAGTCCCACATTCATACACATTAAAGCAAGTGACTTGGTGACCAAATCTAATTAATGAAACAAAATATATTGATTAAACCTAAATTTATATCTACTTAACCTACCAATTAAGAATCTAGATTAGTCGAGCTAGTTGAAGTTAACTGGTCCGACTAATATAGATTCACACCTGCCCATTAAGAAGTATTCATTCACAAAACTCAAAACCCGAAACCTGTAGTTAAAAGGGGAAGAAATCTTATCTTCCTGCCACACCTCTTGATGGTTGGTTCCTTCCATATCATTCAATCATTTATTTCACCTTTTCTAGTAAAGCAAATATGAAGACAGGGATGGAGAATAGAAAATGGTTATTATTAAAGCTTGTCGAACCCTAACATGTCGGATCAACAAAATCGGTGAATTTCGAATCACCTTATCTTACAACTGCAGGCTAGGTAAGCAAATATACATCAAATTCTGGATCCAAACTACAGTACTGGTAGCTGTTGCTTATGATTTGTCCCTCTATCTCAATGTATATTGCTGTCTCTAAAAGAATCAAGAATTCCCCAATCAGAGATTTAACAACAGGATTGAGCCATTACACATACATCCCCCAGACCATTAGAAACAGCTCCTTGTAGTACACGTTTTACAATTATCCGACTTTTGTATTGTTATAAATCAACGAACCTTGTCGAGTTCCAGTATGAATACCCAGGACAGAATTTACTTTACCCTTGTATCTGGAGCAGCAGCATTGTCCTAGCATTGGATCCCCCACCATTGTCACCAAATGAATGAGGTTCCTATGCCAGATTTCGTGTCAAAAAATCATTAACAGCAAGACTGGCATCTCCATGTGACACAGCATCTTCAGGTTCTGGCATATAGAGAGTTGACACAGATGCCTGCGCATTTAAGAATAAATGAACTGTGAGTGCATAGCATTTCATGGAAGGAAAAAAAAAAAGAAGAGAAACCAAAAGGAGCGAACAAAGTTTGGACCAAGTTAAGGTGCTAATATAACATACCCTGATCATAACAGATCTACATAAACAGTTGCTAGAAGCATTCAGCCATAAAGAATACCCCTGTACTATTCAAAAAGGTCTAAAAATACCCCTCCTCCACCTATTGGGTTAAAAATACTCCTCAGTCAACCTTTTTATTGGATCTTTAATTTGATTTGGGTCAAGGAATGGGTTGTGTGGGTAGGAGAAAGTTTGGTAGGTTGGAAATTAACTTTATCCAATAGAAAGACACCACATAATAATTATTCAATTCTATATAAGTTTAAGTGTCTACTTGTGCACATCCAAAGTTAAAGGTCATAATTGTCAGCTGACGCCGAGTTAAGGGTCATGTTTATTTATGTCATTTTAATATGGGGTCCAGCATCGAAAAATTTGAATTAGAATGGGTCCTACTCTAGTTTTATGGTAAATGAACCTTGGGCTTAACTCAACCCCAAAACCTAACTCATGCGGGAAGATTGCCCAAAACCATAAGAAGAGACCAAGGACCCCTTATCCCGCCGATGTGGAACTCCAACATATTTATTGCACTCTTGGTTCATAATCTAGGTATTTACTTCATAATAATTATATTATTACCTTTACTTTCTAGTTCACGTTGTAGTCTTTATTTTGATAATTACAAGAATCTATTTGATGTTCAAAATAACTTCTTTGCGAGTCCTCTAATTATTCATCATTGTTTAATTCAATTATCATAAAGATATCTTGGTAAATCAACGTAAGAAGTTCTATCAAGTTCCATTACATGGCTAAATTCTTTGACTATGCATACAATTTCTCAAAAAAACTACATATATAACTTGAATACAAATACCGCTCTTTCTTCCCTTAAAAGTGTAATTGATTTGGTAATGAAATGTTGAAATATAGTCGATCTAATATGTGCTTGGAGGTATATTGTCATGAATTCAAAAAACGGCAAAAAATCAAATTAAGCGACAAAAACTGAAGCGACAAAAAAACCAACTAAATTGGTTTGGTTTGATTCCAGCATCTGAAAGACTGACTTAACTGGTTTGATTTCCTTTTAGAGGCAAACCAACCCAAAACCGAACCATGAACACCAATACCAGGCACCAACATGATTCAAGCTAATGACATGTGAACGATTGATTGCATGACCACGAGTGAACATCATTGAAAAGACTAGAAGGCTTTACAAAGTTTGATCTAGAGTTGCGGGGTTAGACCAATATTAAACCATGGTAGACCAGTGTTAACTGGGAGCTGACCCAGATTTGACCATTATTAGAATTTCTAGGACGGAAAGCATGGCTCCACACGTCGCACTAGCCCGAGACTCCTTTTATTATGTTAGCACTTCTATTATCTTAAGTACTTGGACTTGGGCCCAAGCCCATTGTTTAGCTAGTAGTATTAAGTCAGAGTACTGTGCATTTTTTACCCAGTTTTGGATGATATGTTTGTGAGGCCCTATATAGAAACCTTTTGGGTTCTTAAAGAACTCCTGTAAATTTTATATATTTGGATCAACTGTTACATGATTAGGATGTAAATATTTTCATATACTAATTGTGGCTGAATTCTATCAATTTGGTTCCTATATCCTATCTTTCTATCTCGTCTTAAGTCCATTCTTATTTTCTTTGTGGATTTTTCTTGTTTGCTATTTCTTTCCGTCGTCACCTATCGACACATCCATACCATGCTACTTGTAGAGTGGTTGGCATTAAGTACTTCTGTATAAATCAGGAGGCAACGCACCTTTGCATCAAACTGCATCTCTCCAGGATTATCGGAAGTGAGGCATGCGCCATGGGCTTTCAACCATTCCACACAATCCTCAACACCATCTGTGTCCTCACTTTCTTCACTTGTGAAGCCTAAAACTTGGGCAATGTAGGTGACCGGAACAGTAGGCCGATTCGAGCGAGACATACATCTAACTGCCGCATATCGCATTTTATCAGCATATAGATCTGCAAAGACAAGTACACATCATCAATTTTAGCAAAATAAATGCAATAGCTAAAAGTCCACCATTAGGAACAGAACACACCCATAAGACACGTGTTAAGATTAGGAGCTGTCTTGTATAATCTGAAGTAGGCAACATAGTTTCCAGTGGACACAGCTGCTCGAACTGACAGAGCATGTTTAACAGCATCGTTCTGTCTAGCCTCTGCTGGTAATCTGGAAAAGGAAAATGCACAACAAAATAGATTAACATTGCACGTTTGAGAAGAAGGGTTTTTCCAGTTTGTATTAAACATTTTTTGAGCAGATTTTCTCAAGATACCAGCACCCAGGTGTATGGAAATTGAAGCCAGGTATACTATGAGTTCGACGAAAATAATGGATTAGACCATAGAAAGACTACAATTCACTTTCCCTTTGTGGCCCTAGTATTACCTTTTGCAATATAAAATAAACTCATTTGAGCTATGGACTAAATGTTGCGACATTTGAGATTTCTATTCAACTTGAACATAAGTTGATGCCCTTTTTTCTTTTCTTTTTCCTAGATTCAATTGAAAGGAAATTTTCCATATTCTCTTCACACTCTCTGTCTTCTGCTTTCTCCCCCCTCACTCCCTTCCTTACTATCACACCCCCCAAAACCCATCTCTTCCCACCCTAAGTCTATCTTCTTTTCTTTTTTTGGGTTTTCTTCCTTGCATAACAAATCAAGATGAACAGGGGAATGGACACACTCCTAAATTAAGCACAAGCTTAACTGTTCTGATTTAGCCTAAACTTTGACAAGCTTATGTTCATATTAAGGCCAAAAATGAAAAGGTAATAAAGTTTTGCATAGAGGTCAGGAATTAAAATGCATAAGTCTAACTGGCCAGTGAATAGTCATGCAAACTCATGAGTCATAACTAGCAAAAGGTATGAGTTGGTGATCCACACTGGTTGAACCTGTTGCATAGCTAAGTCATAACTAGAATGAATAAACCATAGAGGATTTGTCAACATCTGTCTGCTGCAATTTAACCTCACAATCATCCTCAAGGTTGCAAAAAGCAAGGATGTCACGGATGAAATTATTTACATGCAAATCTTACTAGATTGCCTCTTCTTTTTTTCTTCCATTTTGCAGTTGCAGATGCCTAAAAAGGACTAACCAGAGGAACAGCAAAAGTACTTTGGGTGCTTGTAAGCCAAATGATAGAATAGAATGGAAGCAGACAAATAAGCAACACGAAAAGACTTGCAGAAGTTTCACAAAAAAGAAAGCAAGAAAACCAGTATAGTAAGTAGCTGACTGACCTAGACAACGCTAATAGCAGATCTCTGTTGTTACTAGAGTGCAAAAGAACACAGAGTAGATTATATGCAACAAATTCCATATCACATCCCTTTATTCCTTCTGCATAAAGCGTTTTTAGCTGCGACTGACACTGCATATGCCAGAACTAAGAGAGTAAGTAAGAGTAACACTCAAGCAGAAAAACCAATGATGTCTTCGCAGCAAATTACACATTTGTTCATGACATGTCCAAAAACTTTGATCCCAACGCAATTCAATATTGCAATTCTGCCAGCATGTACTCATTTAAAACAAGAAAAAGATTAAAAAGTTTTAAGAACACATTAAGGTAATAGTTCAGAAAAAAAATTCCCAACACAACCTCACAATTTTAGAGCGGAGGTGGGGAACATCTACTATTTCTTTGATCAAAATACATAAGCAGCTATAAATATAAATATTACTGCTCAGAACACATTGCTTCTCTGCATGTTGAAAAAGACCAAAGGAGGACACTAGCAGAAAGAATCTGCATCTAGAA